AGTAAAAAAGTAAATAGAAAGGGCAAGAAGGTCATGTCACACATTTTTTATTTTGAAACGGTCCAAACTCGCAACAAAATAAAAATTTTGGACCTCTAGTGCTAGTCCAAACCTGTTTGGACCAAAGTTGTAATTTTCAATTAACCACATGGACCATTCATACAATTTTGTCTTTTCAATTCATTTTTCTTTGGCTAATATACCATCCTTGATCTCATCAGAATCTCTCCATGTTGTAAGTGTTCCATTTTCATGGTGTTTGAATTTGTGGGAGATTTGAGAAAATTGTTTTGGTGGAGAAGATGATGAAGACATATTTTTGAATGAATATGTTATCATGTTTACACTCTTTATATAGAATTTTACAATTATGATAGGTGGGTTGATAGGTGTATATTAAATAAAATGATAGGTGGATGGTTAGACATTATTTAATGTAATAGTAGTAGGCATTTAATGAGATGGTAGTTGAGTTGGTAGATGAAGATTTAATAGAGGACTAATAATAAGTCATATTATTACATATAAAGACAAATTACATTAAAATACTAAATAAAATACATCATAATACTAAATAAGATACGAAATATTGAAACACTACACATTATTAATCATATTCAGTCTGCCATCCGTGGTACTCTTACAAAAAAATGGTTAATGTATGTTTGTTTTCCATTCATTTTCTTTATTTCAACCATTACCTCACTCTCTCCACGGGCATGAGATTTTTTAAACTCCTTTATCGACAAATTATTTTTCTTGATTTTTATCCATTTTTTTTATTTTAGCTTCTTTTTGTCCATCGCACACCTTCATGCATGAATACTGAAAGTGTGTATCTCAAATTATTATTCTTTGTCTTTTACACCCTTCTTCACTCTTCAACATCTTCCAATGTCTAAATGTATCATTAGAGGTGAAAGGTGATTGATGAGATGAGCAATTCTCGACCGGTCTTTTAATAGAGAAGAAGAACATATTTTTACGAACAAATGCAAATTTATGATTTCAAGATGAGTATGAAAGTTTGGTATGAAATTCGTATATTTTTAGGTTCTTTATATATTGTTTGAAAGATGTAGCAGGTGGCACATTTTGGTATTTTCACATGCTACCTAGACATTTTCGCAAAACATTTCCGCAGGTGGTCGGGAGATTTCCGTAAGTCACCAAGCAATAAAGAGATTTTCACAGGCCACCTAGATTTCGTAGGTTATCACCTATGAAAACAATAACTAAAATGATCATTTCTCTAATTTTTGCTTAGATTTTAGAAAATTATATTTAAAATTATCATTGATTTGTCTTTTTCTATGAAATAAATATATGGTCGTTTGAAAACATCATTAATAATTTGATTTTTCAAAAACATAATTAACCTTTATTATGTATATATATTAGGGATATATACACTAAAGTCTCAATATTTTCAACGATTTGACAAAAAAATCCTAAACTTTATTTTTTTGACAGTAAAGTCTTAACTACCGGCAGTTTTTGACACGCTTACCATTTTTTGCTGGTTAGTCGGTAATTAGGACTTTACTATCAAAAAAATAAAATTTAGGACTTTCTTGTGAAAGCATAAATTAAGACTTTACTGTCAAAAAATAAAGTTTAAGACTTTTTTGTCAAATCGTTGAAAATATTAGGACTTTAGTGTATATATCCTTTTTTGTTAGAAATTTAATAGTATGATAGTCTTTAAGCATACGTGTTATTGGAACCTGCTCTGGTCACCTAGATTGTATTGAAATCTTTAACATTTTGCTTCTTGTTAAATAGTTTTTTTTTTTAATCTCAATGAAATGACATTGAAAAAAATAAAGATAATCAAGGAAGAAAGAACGAATCAGGGTTGTGTTGGCTTTTTGCAATCCTAAAAATGGAGAACTAAAAACCAAAAAAGATGGGACATTCACGCCCTTTTGACTAGGCATGTGTTATTTGTGTTTGTACAATATGTCTCCTCTTTTCAGTTCAGATTTGGCGGCGAACCAGTTGATGTTTGTGTTTGTACAATCTGTCCCCTCTTTTTAGTTCAAGATTTTGCAGCGAACCAAGAAGAAAGTTTTACAAGTCTTCTCACCCTCTTTCGTTCTCTCTTTTGCATCTGTTTCCCATGATCGTGATTGTAGCAGGGTAAAGATCATGATGGTAACAAAAACAGTGGTGTTGTGACGAAAATCACAATTAAAAGTTCTTGGGTCTCATGAGGCTGATAAAATTATTTGTTTCTAGGGAAACAAGACTATACACTAAAGTCCCAATATTTTCAACGATTTGACAAGAAAGTCCTAAACTTTAATTTTTTGTCAGTAAAGTCCTAATTCCTAATTTGACAAGAAAGTCCTAAACTTTTTTTTAAGACAAAACTTCAAAAATAGTCCCTGTGGTTTCACAAAATCTGAAGTTTGGTCCCTAATTTATAAAAACCTCACGGATGGTCCCTGTGGTTTCAAAACTTTTAACAAACGGTCCTTTTCGCTAACTTCGTTAGCTTTTGGCCGTTAAGTGAAGGGCATTTCTGTCCTTTCACAATCACAGGGACCATTTATGAAGTTTTGCCTTATTTTTTAAAAAAAAAGAAAAAAATATATAATTATTTAATATTAAAGGGTCCCACCTCTCTCTCTCTCTCTCTCTCTCTCTCTCTCTTCTTCTTCTTCTTCTTCTTCCTAAAAAGAACACACCCTTTTGATCCCCTCCCTCCTTCTTCACTTCATCATAAACTCCAAAACCTCAGTCAATTTTCATTCTTCATACACAGAAAGAGAGCATCCTTTTGCGATTTGAAGCAACCCCCACATAAATTCATATTTCCACAAGCTTGATTTCATATGGGTTTTGAATCTCTCGAGCTTGGCACGACTTTCTTCTCTCTCAACTACATTCACATCAAGAACCCGCAATCGCTCTATTTCCTTCTTCATCAGTTTCCGTTTACCATGCACCTACTGCCTTAAACCCTAACCTCTCCCTATTTCTCCGACCACCCACCTTCAGCGGAACCTTGTCCGACCTGCAACAATGGCCGAATTGGGCGAAAACCTTAGTGTCATCTGTCGGTTCATCTTTCATAGATTCAGATAACGGACCAGACTTCGAAAGTTTACACAGAGAACTTAATTGGCTGATCGAAGATGCTCTAGAAAACCCAAAACCATTACTAACCCTCAACGACTCCAAACACAACACTATTTTGCAATTAAGAGCTTACTTGGGTGATCTTTACTCTTTATGGGGGATTTGGTTCTGAGTGTCGAAGAAGGTGATCTGATTCCAAGGCCTGAAACCGAGTTGATAATCGATCTGCTGGAAGATTTGATCAAGCATAGTCAAGAATTGAATGAAGGTTTGTGGGTGGATTTAGGTACCGGTTCTGGTGCAATAGTTATTGGAATCATGAGGATTTCATGGATTAGGATTGAGAGAGAAGGTGGGTTTATGTGTATATTTTCAATTTCTTTGATTATACATTTGTGTGTATTGAGTTCAGCTCCAATTTGGATTTCAATTAGAAGTAAAAACAAGGATTTCATGGCGATTTTCTTAAGTTGCAGACCAACTGTTTGTGGAAATGCCCCCAATGACATCAATTTGTTCACACCCCAAGCTGGCTGTTTCTTGTTTCACAGCTTCGTCATAACGAAGATGATGATCAGATGAAGATGAACATGGTAGAGAGATATGTTTAAGTTTGTATATGAAATTAGATATGAAATTAAAATTGGATATGAAATTAGAGTTCGAACCCATTTTCTTTGACAATTTTGCTTCAAAGTTTTTTAAAAAGGTGTGTTCTTTTTAGGAAGAAGACTTACAGGGGGAGAGAGAGAGAGAGAGAGAGAGAGAGAGAGAGAGGTGGGACCCTTTAATATTAAATAATTATATTTTTTTCTTTTTTTTTAAAATAAGGCAAAACTTCATAAATGGTCCCTGTGATTGTGAAAGGACAGAAATGCCCTTCACTTAACGGCCAAAAGCTAACGGAGTTAGAGAAAATGATCGTTTGTTAAAAGTTTTGAAACCACAGGGACCATCCGTGAGGTTTTTGTAAATTAGGGACCAAACTTCAGATTTTGTGAAACCACAGGGACCATTTTTGAAGTTTTGTCTTTTTTTAAAGTAAAGTGTTAATTACCGGCTAACCAACAAAAAATGTAAGCATGTCAAAAATTGTCGGTAGTTAGGACTTTACTATCAAACAAATATAGTTTATGACTTTCTTGTTTAATCGTTGAAAATATTGAGACTTTAGTGTATATATACCTATAAATTATAAATGGGCTCCTATGTACTTTTGTCATAATTGTACACTAGTTGTAAGACTCATGTATTACATGGGTTAATTTAAAAAAATAGATATGATTATCTAAATATTTGAGAATTTTGAATTTATAAGAAAATAAGAAAAACAATGAATTATCAAAATTGAAATGTGTTTTTTATCTTTTAAATTTAAACAAAAAATTTAAATAAATAAACAAAATAAACTAATGAGTTTTAATTTGTGAATTTTGAAATTAGAAGGTAATTTCATTAATGAAATTGATATGCATTTATTATAATTATTATATTAAAATATTATGTGGAATATAATAAAATAAGAAAACCCATAAAATAACATATGGAAAAAAAAAAGTTAATTCAAAATAACTAAAAAATGGATGACATTTAGCAAATTAAATGAGAGTATGATATGTGACAAAAAAATCTTCATTTATTAGAGTAGATATGTTTTTCATACAACACAAAATGGAATAACAATTTTCCATAATTTGTTTTGATCAATAATAACATTATATCAATGGTCGAAGGAAACATCGCAAGATCTTTATAGTTTTATAGGGTTGGATTGAATATTTAGTATTATCTCAATCGGGTCTCTTTTGTCATGCCCCTGCCCCATTCATCAATCATGTTATAAACTTGTAGTTTATCCGAACAAGGAACAAATGGTCTAACAAATCGTCCATTGAAAATATTACAAATATTGAATACCGATGATACAAAGAGAATTTCTGCTCACGCCAATTAAACCCTAATTTAATAGGGTAATATATATACATATATGTATATTTGTAGTTACAAAAATGTCTTATTCTAACCGGGCCAAGTTGTCGAAGGTCTCAAAATTCAAAAGAAAATTATATATATCTACAATATTTAGTAATTAGATTTTTTTAGCATACAAAAAAGGTTAATTTAAACTCAAATTAAATTACACTGATAATTGGCCCAATTTGGAGTGAAGAAGTAGCAGATGACTTGTTACTTTCCACCGGCTTTGGAGCAGCAAGTGTAAGTTCTAAATCAAGAGTACCACTTTTAGAGCCAATAGTACCACACGGAGAAGCATGCACATGTGAACACATTGATGTTGTTTCATAGGATTTGACTGTTGGATTGTAGTAGACATTTTCTTGTTTTAGTGAACTGAAATCTATCAAAGAAAGATTGTTACTCCGATCTTGATGACCTTCATCAAAGGAGTTTGTTCGACTCATATTGTAACTATTTTCTTGATTTGCTACTACATTCTTGTTGCTGTTGCCCCTTCCCTGTGATCACAACCAAAAATAACTTTAGAAACTTCTTTTATAAGGTTTATCAAGAAAAAGAACATCGATTCTCTGGGTTTTCTTCAATTACAAGAAATTTGGAGTTTAGCTTCATCAATTAAAGGGTTATAGTTTGTGTATTATGGGTTGTACATTGTTGTAAAAGTTTCAAACCCCTACCGAATGGAGTGCATAACGCCTAATGGAGGTACTATTTTTTCTACACAAAGTACAACCTTGCAATGCATGATTGTGCGGAAACACATACCAAATCAAAGAGGCTCGAACGACGTTTCTTCTTGACAAGACTAGCCTGCCTTAGAAAGTACTTTTGGGCATGACTTGCAACTTGTGTAGGTGTTCTTGTGGTCACATAGTTCCTTGAAATCCCTCTCCAATCACCTTTCCCAAGCTTTTCAAGACCAGTTAGAAATAGACGGTGTTCATCTTCCGACCAAGGAAAGCCTACAAAACCACCCAACCAATATGTCACAATTGAAATTCTACGTTCTTTTATGTCAAAAAGAGAATTTTAAAGTTGAATACATGCATGGCATATGGTGGCATACATAATGTAATGTAACCATAAAGAGAACTTTCCATCAGTTCATACAGTATATAAGTAAATAATATTGTTGATGATTCGTGCATACCTTTTTTCCGTTCTTGAGCTCTAAGACCATCTGAAACATAACCAACTGACATACTCTTGAGGTCGCTAACGGACACCCGAGAAGAAGATAAGGAAGATGAAGGTGAATGTGAAGTTGAAGCTTGTAGTAGTGATGAAGAAGGCAAACAATCCATGCTAAGGCATTTCTTAATGACCATAGAGTGTGGTGTGTCTAGTTGAACCCCAAAGAGCCTCAATCCCCCTCCACCACCCCCACCTATCAAGATTGTGCTATTGACATTGCCTCTATTATAACTAGTGCAAGTTCTTGAATTGTGGCCTATGTTTCCACAATGTGAGCATTTTCTCCCCATTTTGGTTCAAGTTCTTTTGCAAAAGAAAGAAGTAAGAATGACCCACAAATACCCAACACCTAAAAAGCACACCCAAAGAGAGAAAAGAAAAGGAAATGTTAGGTTTGGCACAAAGGCAAATAATGATGATGATATATGTGTGGTGGGAGGTGGGGTTTTGGCAAAAATGGATGCAAACCTAAGAATAAATGATTGGGTGGATATTCTTTTTTACGATTTGAAAAAAGATAATATTTTTATGACCAAAATCACTTATCCAACTATATATATATATATAGAAGAAAAGAATCTTTATACATGATATTGGCATCTCGAAAGGATATCACAGGAAGATATGATATGATGTGTTCGTGATTAATTTGTACAAACATAGTAGGGTTTAAAGATCAAGACATTCGTTTGTCCACTTGGGATTTATGCTACTTTTGAATAATAAACAAAACCCAAGTTACATATCCGATAACAAGATAAAATATGAAGTTATAGTCGAGTAAAGATAATTTAAATAAGTTTGTACTATGAATTTGATATTTTACACTGGCCGGCATCTATTATTGGAGTATGGAAGGCCTCAATTAACCTCTTAAAGAATCTTGACATTAACATCGTTGAAGTTGTAAGCATATGTTGACATGATTAATAAAGAAACCAATCTTGATTTAATTATTTGATGATCAATCAAGTATTAAGTTTGGGTATTTTATCTTTTAATGACATAATTTCGGAATAACCTTTTTGTAATAACTTGTATATTATGCAATATAACGTGTATCTATTTGTGAAACTAATCATTATGGGTCTTAATATAGACAAATTATTTATATTTGTTTTTATCCTGTAAGTTTTCTTTTTCAAAACCGAGACAAAATCAAAGCTATGAACCCAAGTACCCAAGTAGTAAAATGGCATCACTATAGCAAAAATTAAACAAAAAACATAATTTTAAAATGAAAATTTGTCTACTCCTCTCATTTTAAAATAAGTTTATTTTATAATTTAGAAGTTTCTAGTACATATAGATTACCAAAAATCGATCGTTTGGTAAGAAAAAAACGAAGTATGATTTGTTTTTAAGTTCATTTTATATTATATAAAAAACGTTCTAAATTTATTTGCTCGTGTTTTATTGGTACCTAAGAAGCCAATAATTTAGGGTGTAAGTACTTATCCACCCAACCCCATCAAGCATCAACCACCAACTTAAGAAATATAATATGAAATCCATTAAAATAAAGAAAAATAAATGAAAAAGTCTATAAACTGTTCAACACCTATTTATCTCATTAAATTTAAAAAAGAAATGTCTGTTTTTTTCTTCATTAAAAAAAGAAAAAAAATATATATATATATATATATATATATATATATATATATATATCTTAGGTGCCTAAAAAAATAAAAAATTGTAACTTTATTTCCATTTAGGATAAACTACACATATCATTTAAACGTATCTTCATAATCAATTGTTCAAAACCAACACTATAATTTATAATTAGTTTTTTAAGATTGATCTAGATTCTATCTTTTCAAACCGAAAAGGTCAACCAATCATGTCGGTTTGGATGTTAAACAACTATTAAATACAAATATTTCGAAGATAAACAATATAAAGATTCCTATCGAAATTGAATTAAAATAATGCGTGTGAATCTCTTATAATACGTAAAAAGAACAAATTGAATCTACTAAAGATTACCCCATACATACATACTTACATACTTACACACACAAAACCTTCCATTGGCGAATATATTTTAAAGGTTTTGGAGTTTGTCATTACTATAAGAGGGAATCTTCCAACACCATATTATATGCGGCCTAATTAACTTTCTTTGACTAAGTTCTTTTTTCCATGATAAAATTGGTTTAATCATGCAACAAGTTGAGATATTTTAAAAATATAGTTTTTTTTAACGATAAAATTGGTTTAATCATGCAACTAGTTGAGATATTTTAAAAATATATATATCAAGAAAACAATGTTTAAAAGTTTATAAAACTATATAATAATGTTACCCTAAATCAGATTGGCCAAGCCAGATAGTCTCCACTTCACGAATCATAGATCTTGAGTGAGGTTGGTATCCTATGAAAACAACACACAAATAAAATGGCAACTTGCCAAATACACTTTTATTACTAAAAGATTAGTTTCTTCTAGAAAAGCAAAGTCTACACGAGTACTACTATTCATGCATAAAATACTACCCAATTGTAACAAATGAATGTATTAAAAGGATGCTTAAATTAGCTTTTTGAGAGTGATGTCATTTTTGTGATTATGTAAGATGTGATATTTAAGTCATAATTTTTTAATTTATGCAACAATGGTTTTTATACGAAATATGCAAATACATTTGACTAAAATATACAGTATATGCAATGTTTCATTTAGATCATTCGGTATACGTATCACTACCAAAATTGTGGTGTGGTGACATGTTAGGATCACCTCATTGGTGCATTAAAACCACACCACTCAACATCACTATATCCCTTTCATTTATTTTTTTTATTAAAAAATATATTTTTTAATTAATTAAGAGAGAGAAAATGATGGACTGTTTTCAATTGTGGTAGTGACCACATTCCACAACGCCATAGCCACCACAATACACACGGGGCGGAGTGCACTACGTTGGTGGGCAGAGTGCACTATGTTGGTGGGCTGTCAGGGTGGCAATGAAGCCCTTTTATATGTAGGTAGTGTGAATGATCTTATTTATCAAGTTATGTCACAATGCTTCATTTTTTACTTTTTTTTACCAAGTGTTACAACAATACGCCAATTGAATTAGCATGAACCATAAATACATCTACCAAACAATTCGGCTTTAATTAGAAACAAAGATCTTCATGTGCGATTCAAGACAACATGGGCCTAGGAAAAAGAGGGGTCAACAATCTTGAAGCACTAATTTTATCGTACCATAAAACCATTTACTTTTATGGCCATTATGCGAGTTTTCATGCATATCATTTGTGGAAACGCACCAACACTATGACCAAATCAAAGTACAAAAGCACTTTGATCTTAATCAAAAGTTGTATAACATTTTTAAAGGTAGACTAAAGAATAAAGCCTTGTGTACTTGGATGCATGGTCATGGTATATTATTTATTTATCATGGTACTTGTTACAAAAGAAATATTACAAAAAAGTCACGTATGTATAAACAAAAGCCTTAATGACACCGATCCGCTTTAGTATGAAAAAGAAGGCACAAGTGGCACTAGAAAGGTCTATCGTCTTTAAAATAAAAGGTATAACTATGTAAGTTAAATGCTAACTGGACCACGAAGGAATTGGAATCTTCTCATGAGCTGGTGCAACCTCAAAATCTAAGATTGTCGTGGGAATTATCTCAAACTTTTATTTATATTTGAATATTTTTGAATGAATGAATCATAATATGTCAACATAGTGTATAAAAAAGGAATGGAATGTAGCAATATTGTCCAATGAAAAAATGTTGTTTGTTTGCGATGAATGAATGGAATGGAGCATTCAACATGGAATATGATTACTTCTCTTGGATTGAATTTTATTCAACGTGGGAGAATGTTTTCCATTCCTTCATGCCTTCATGGAATAGAATGATATATTATAATTATAAATTACTTTTATTCATATAGAACGTGTTTGGTAAAACTAGTTGTTAACTAAAAGTTGGAATTAAGTTGATGGCTAGGATCTGGGAGCTGGAAGTTGTAAGTTGTAACTTTTATTTATGTATAAGTGTTTGGCAAAAGTAATTGCTAGCTTTTAAAGTTGTTAATTTATATAAAGGAGAAACAAACAAAAATTAAAAACTCTCAAAAACTACCTAAATAGCTTTGGGTGTGTTCAACACGAAGATATTAAAAGCTTTTGTGAGCTTTTAACTTTTAAGAAAAAACCCAAAAAAAATGTTCAATAATAAAGCTTTTAATTTTTATTTTAAATAAAAAAAACTCATTCAAAAATTACTTCAAGTAGCTTTTGAAAGCTTTTAGTTTTTGGATTTTATATAACTTTACATATTTAAGAGTTAACAACTAGATATGCCGAACATTTTTGCACAAATAAAAGTTATACTTTCTAGCTATCAACTTCCATGTAGTAGTTTATGTTGCGATTTGGGGTCCAACAAGTGGACTAACTCTGTGCTAGTTGGTCTTTCCTTCTAGCTTGTGATGTAATTGTTCTATAATTTCTCTTTTAATGTATTTACCGGAGGCGTTGCCCTCTTTTCCGGAAAAAAAAAAAAAAAAAACTTCGTAGTTTTGTCAAGCACATCCTTTAGATTAAGAGTTTTTTGTTTAAAATAAAATCAAAAAACTCTTACTGCTAAACAAAGATTTTTTCTTAAAAAATAAAAGCTAAAAAGCTCATAGACGCTCCTAAAAGCTTCGTGAAAAGTGATTTTAGATGATAAAAACTCATTTTTTAACTATTTTTGAAATACATATAGCATATATTTTAAATGAAATGGAATATGCATACATAACAAACATTTTCAAATGACATCAAAATCCACGAACAAACACACCCTCATGTTCTCTCATTTGTATCTTTGTAGAGATCAACTTATGTTGTCTCCAAGAGAAAAATGACATCGACTCAGTACATATATACATATAAAGAAATATCACCACAAGATGATAGAGATACAGATAGAGATACAAATACATACACACTCAGGAAAAACTCCAAGATCTGAATTTGCAAATTCCACGCCGATTTTCACCAAGAGAATCACGTATGGATTTCACCAGGGAAATCACAGCTGGAATAAGTGACAACTCCTCATCGCATTCCTACATTATTTTTTATTTTCTTTAAGTCATGTTTAACTTAACAAAGAATTTAATAATAAATGAGAAAATTTCCAAAAAAACAAATTGTATTACCACATCAGCAATCCGGGCTTCAATGCCTCCGATGTTTGCATTAGTAGGCATGAATATCTTCCTGTAAGCTGCTCTCAGGCTCCTGATCTATCCTTATCAAAGAAAACAAATCACTGTTTGGTTGGATGGAATGGAATGGAATAACAAAGGAATGGAATGGAAAGGGTAATGAAACAAGCAAAGTTAACGGAATCAGTGATTACATTTCATGATCATGTTTAGCTGACCTGTTGGAATGAAATGAATTTTTATATAATTCTTTAATGTAATTACAATGTATGGTTTTAACTATATTATGTAGCATTATATATTATAATTAATAAATTTTGTAATTTCATAAAGTAAAGAATTAAAAAATATCTTTTCTAAATTCTAACCTCAGTAACTGAGAAGCCACCTCGTCGAAGACCTTCTAGATTCAAACCACGCAGCTCTGCTCTGTCTCCAGCCACCATTGTATACTTGGGGACATCTTGTGAAACCTTATGTACATATAAAATTATTAAATCAGATTTCTAAACTTTGATTAACAAAAATTACTTTCATGGTAAATTAAAGACTGAAAACGAATCTTACCACTGAACCTCCACCAATGAAACAGAAGGAACCTACATGGCAAAACTGATGAACAACAATGGCTCCAGCTGTGTGTGCATGGTCCTACATTTGGACTTGTAAAATCAGATTTTTAGTTTTCACAATAAAATACCCAAATTGACCTCATACAAAGAAATGTGAAAAAAGAAATAACCTCCACCAAAACATGCCCAGCCAAAAGTGTATTGTTTGCAAAAATGTTATTGCTACCCACTTTGCAATCATGGGCAATATGACAAGCTCCCATGATAAGATTGTTATCACCAATAACCTGGTTATGCAATTTTTTTTACTTCAACAACACATTTAAGTTTATAAATACTAAAAGGGGAAAAGATATTCACAATCACATACTGTTGTATCACAAGCCTTTGAAGATCGATGGATGGAAACATGTTCTCTTATCTCATTATTATCACCAACTTGAAGAAAGCATTCATTACCTGACTGATAACAAAGTGAAGTATCAATAAATTAAGGTTTAGGGTTTAGGATTTAGGGTTTAGGGTTTGGGGTTCAGTGCATACAATTCAATTACCTTATACTTCATGTCTTGGCATTTGAGGCCAACAACAGCATGATGACCAATGAGATTATTGCAGCCTATGATTGTTTTGCCAGGAATGTCATCTCCAACAACTGCACCACTGCTTGATGATGGCATATAAATAAGGATCAAGGATAGAAGAACAATCACTAACAATGAAAGTGTGACTACATTATATGAATTACGAAATTATGAACTAACCTCATCAAGATGCATTTATCTCCCAATTCTGTGTTTCCAAAAACATGACTTCCAGGATGTAGTATGCAATTATTTCCTAATGTTGCTGAAGAGCCCACACTGCAAAAGGGGCCAATTGAAACTCCCTGCAAGCTAATATAGTTTTAACATTATATATAAGTTGCAGGACAATCTAACCACTTTATAAATTATGATATCATTCCTGATTGTAGTCCCTCTGGCCTATAATTATCACTAATGTTTAATAAGTGTGTGCATTAAGAACAAATACACTCACTGACTCACAATTGTATAACCTTTCAACATTTTCAAATTTTCCTATTTCACAGAAGGGGATGAGATTTGGCTTATTTATATGTAAGGGATCAGCTTTTAGATTGAATCATTTGGTTCAACTTTCCCAAAGTTTTATGTTGGAGTAATATCTGATCATTTATCACTTCATTGATACTACCTTTAACATAGTTACATCTAGATAATACAATTTTATACATGATTTACTTTAATGCAGTTTCTATTTGACACTCTCCAGGTTATCAATATAATCAAAAATGGTGGCGACAGTCCCCTAAACTACCATTTGCAAGCATACAAGGAATACTACATTTCAGTGTCAAAATCTCAATATACCTGACCTATCATCGCATTAGGATGAACGACAGATGAAGGATGTATGAAGCTAGGGTTTATTCCATCAGCATTATGGTCTCTACTAAAGTCCGAGGCATCTGTACATAAATTACAAAAGTTAATTCGTATATACACACAGGGAGATAAGGAAGCAGGACACGGAAAGTGAGTTACAGTTGAGAGTCGAGAGGCGTCGAAGAGAAAGTGCCCGCAGTAGACCAACGGCGACCTGCCGCCGGGCTCTGAGGGGTGAAGTTGCCATTTCTTGAAATTGACCCACGTTTGCGGGCAATTTATATCTGTAAGATAAGTTACCACTTTACCCCCTATATCTTTTGGAAACCCACTTTACCCCCTATATGTTTTGGCAAAAAGTTTTTAACCCCTTATATCATATTTAGAACCAAAACGATCCCTTTATTATTGATTCTTTTGAAATTTGACCTATTAACTTATTACAAATATATGTCAAATTTAGCATAAATTTGTTGGTTTTCTTTAAATAAACACAATATTTCGCTTGGGGTATAATTAAATAAAGACAAATTATGTAGAGGGTCCTTGTGGTTCATCATAAGTCCTAGTTTGGTTTACAAAAATAATAATAATAATAATAATAAAATTAGGATTAGTAACGGTGGTGATGGTGGACTCTTAGGCGCTGTTTGTTTTTTCTGAGGCAAAATGTATGCAGTCTGCGGACCACATCTGTAGACCTCTGCAGTAGAAGAGGTGGACCAAACGTCTGCAGTCTGAAAAAATAAGATTGTTTTTTTTTTTAACATCTGCAGGCTACTAAAATAAACTGAAATCTAAATAAACTAATTTTTTTAAACTTCAAAGTGATTTTTTAATATTTTTATGACTTTGTTATAAATAATTAACGAATCTAGATCAACTTTTATGTATTATTGTATAAAAAATAAAAATAAAAATTGTATGAATTAACGTATCTATTTGATAAAAACCAACAACTTTGGTTGTAAAGTTATAACTAAACATTATAATTAGTGATCAAAGAATTTGATACATAAATGAATGGAAATAAACTTCGATTTTTTCAATTAAATCTATTAAAAATGTACCATAAATATTTTCTCGGGAAATTGATGATAATGTATTAAATAATGTTTTACAAAATTTGTCAAAAAAATATATTAATATATTATGATTTTTTTTTTCATACTTATATAAACAACTTCAACGACTATTATTGTAATAAATCTTTATTTATAAATTTGTCAAAAATATCATGTTTGTATCGACGTTTTTTTTAGTTTTGTAATTTTTTTTCAAATTGTTTATCATTAATAAAGTTGGAAAAAATATAAATTAAAAAAACTTAAAAAAAATAAAGATATATATGTTTTTTTAGGCTAGAAGATGTCTGAAGATGTTAGAAGACTCTGATCCACATCTGCGCCAAGAAGAGGGCGCGCAGACATTTTTAGGTCTGCAGTCTTCAAAAAAACAAACAGTCTGTGAAGGCTAATGTTTGCGCGTGGTCTGCGAGGCGCAGACAGAAGAGGCCACGCAGATTTGCAGACAAAAAACAAACACCACCTTAGTGGTGTTGGATGGTGGCAGTGAAGGCTAATTGGAAGAGAGGAGTGGGGTGAGGGGTACGCGTAGAGATAAGGGTAGTGTTGTTTTTATTTTTTTATTTTTTTTTAACTATATTTAATTAAAAAAATTAAAGACATAAAAAAGTACAAATTAGTTATTTCATGTGGCTCATGCACAAACTATATAAAAGTTTAAAAACCTATAAAAAATGTGTTCCTCAAAAAATACTAGCAGTGACTAAACTTATGACATTTAATAAACTATGATGACCATTTATATAATTTTGTCTAAAATAAATAAATAGTACCACTACTAAAGTAATAATCACAAGGGCTGGTTGTAAATTCAATCTTGTTCGTAAAGTCTCTTTCTTCATTTTAAACGTTTTAGACAATTATTATGGAGTGAAAAAAAGACGATAACATACTTTTCTATAAATAAATAAAGTGATACAATTATATAAGTGTTTGTGCCCAATTTGGTTAATCCGATCGAACCCGAGTTTTATATTAGTTTTTGAAGTTATTATTTTATTTTTATTTTTTTAACTGGCAAATCTAATATACTCCTAAACTAATACTTAATTTCACATATGTCCACAACGGGACTTGAATCATTGACCTTTATAATGTCCAATTTTTACATTAAAATTTTCGTTTTTAATCAAGGTAAAACTTCACATATTTAGAATCTCAATTAAGAAAATTATTTGTTCCAAAGTACATTGTTTTAAAATTAGAGTAATATAGTAAACGCGGAATCCCCATTGCTACTGATGAATGTGTACAGTCACATCTCCGTTTTCCCATGATCACCAATGGTACATGAAAAACATAAGCAACTAGGTAAGCACGAAGTTTAGTGAGTTCCCCAAAATAACACACACCACAATACACGTACAATGCATGCACACCGGGCCCACAATCACAAAGACTGGATTGCCCCAAGGCCCACAGCCACAAAGACTAGATTGCCCTCAGGTATGTTGGCATATCGCCTCAACCCAATCGTTCCCCTGAACCTTCGTGCCTACGGCGTAGAGTCGACCCGCACCTGGTATCTTGACCTACAGCACAAAGCAGAACCACCTCAACCTAAACTACCACGATATGTCAACATATATAATCAAACAAGCAGTCAAATAAACACATAAGCATGGGCAACTATCTACATGAATCTACCTGTCGAACAGTTCACTACCGCCTACTAGGCCCCTACCAGCACAATACGTCACTACCGGAAAATATCCAAAGAATACATAGCTATATGCAGCCAGATGTGAGATAGACACTCAAACAGATGATCCTACTCTAGAGCCATAACCAAACAAGTAACATGCAAGAAATCCTATATCAAGAGTTTTCAGGTTATCCTACGTAACTACATACATCCCTTAGGGCACTCTACTAGACGATAACCAACCTATTGGTACTCGAACCAGCATACCACTACTCATATATCATTACATATATATATATATATATATATATATATATATATATATATATATATATATATATAACAGACCACTACAACATATCAACATCTCATACACAAGGATACATAACACAATCTAGTGGGTCGGCATTGGTGCCTTCGACCCATGTGTACAGTAAGGAAAACTCACATTGCAGTCTAGAAGGTAGCAGTAATGATTACTGATCTGATACCAGCTATACATGGTACCTATGCAACAAACAAGGATCAAGTCTCAATCTACAACTCAGAATACTCAATTTGGCCTAAAGTCAAATTTTGTCAAAGTCAATGGTCTACGGTCAAAAAGTCAATGGTCAACTCCAACCAATCTAAACCCTACATAGCATGCAACTCTACGCGTTCCGTACAACTCAAGGTGGCGAAATAGGGTAGAAAAGAGCTACACCATTGCGTATCACGTTGGTGTCCAATTTTCCATTAAGTTCTTAATACAGAAGATTAGCTTCTCAAACTCTAAGATCTAACCAAGATGGACGTCTTAATGTATAAAGTGTCTGACTTTATCCATTTGCATGCATACAAAGGGCACTAATCCAAACCCTAGGTCCAAAACAACCTTCTATTGCTCAAAAGCTCATGCATAGATGGATGAGAGTGACCAAGCTCTCATTTTTATGACTTAGCAATCCCAAAAACGACTAGAAATGATATTTATACAGCCTGGAGTAGCTTATACTCACAAAGGAAAAGGTTATGGGGACAAAAGCATAGAAATCTCAAGAGTAACTAGATCTAACATGAAACTGTTGGATTAGGTGTCTAAGCCCATAACTATAATTGGTATGTACTGGACCCGAGAGTAGCATGGTCCATTTGGGTTGCATATCATCAGGACAATTTGTTAGGATGGACTTTTGAGAATAGGTTATTTATGATTTATTAATATATTATAAGTTCTATTATATTAATATGAAATCATATGATTTAATTAGTATTGATCAAGAATTGGTTTGGAATTAATTTAGTGATCAAAAGAGACTAATTAAATCAATGGGGACTAATTGTGTAAATTAGTTATATTTATATGTTGAGCTCATGATCCATGTTGGACTAAGTTTATGTATGGATACATAAAGAGTTGGGCCACATGAACCATGGATCATAAACCCATGGGTATGGATTAGGGTTAACCCATGACCCTTGGAATCCCACATATAAATATGTGACTCCATAGCCAAAATTGATGACTACGAGTTCTTGGAGTTCATGGACGATTTTGGGTTCAAGATTCTATCTCAAAATGTCATCCTTTGTCCTAGATGTGTTGTGATTCCATTTGAGGCATTCGCACTATTGGTGCTAAGTTCTTAAAGGCCAAATACTACAAGTTCTACAAGCTACACAAAGAGGTAAACTCCTAACTAGTATTTTATGTTGTTTATGTCATTTGTATGCTAGTTGTAGATTTAAAGCTTTGGAAACAATATTGCATGTATAATTAGAGAAAACATAGATTCAAAGCTTTTAGGGTTGTATGTGCACCATAGGATGTTGTAGTATACTAAAACCCATCAGTGGTATCAAAGCCATGGGTTGTTTTTAATATACTTGATGTTTTATAAGTTTTCAAAGCAAAAAAAATTGTTTTTTCTGTCTTCTGCCCAATGAACTCTCCGAGTCCACTGGGTGACTCGCCGAGTTGCTTGAATATTGTCTTGGACTCGTCGAGTGCATCAAGGGACTCGACGAGTTGGCAGTCCTGAATGCAGATTTTCGAGTTTTTTTGGCCTGTTTTGGATTAGGATCGTTACCACAAAATGTTTTTGTTCATAAAAATTTGATTTTGATGTTATGGTAATGATTATCCTCATCCAAAACAAGATAACCGTCAAAGTTTCAAGAGTTATATTAGTTTATATGATTAGGCTAATTTCTTATAATTTGTTTGATATGAATTATCTTAATTTATGAGTTTGTTTTTGATCAATAGAAAGTTGTATGATGATAGTTATTGTTCAAAGTTTGATCTAAAATATTTTTGATATGAGTTTTGTAACTTGTCCTCAAGTTACATGAAAAGACTCATTCAAGAATTTTAAAACTCATAAAGTTCCATATGTTATGAAAATGAAGAGTCTTATTTTCTTAAATGCTTTTAAAGTCTTCCATAACTTGTCCTCAAGTTATGGAACTTGAAGAGTTTTTTCATTAAACCACTTTAAACTCATAAGTTATGGATTTGAAAAGTTTTGACAA